CCATGGCATCTTGTCAGAAGTCAACTGACCATATGTAAGAGAGTATAATTATAAATTTTTTAAATCCCCCTTGTTTAGCTGTACACCTGTGTTTACATCAATGGCACATTGATTGCTATAACTCTATCACAAGCCCTTCCCAGACAGTCCATAGTAGGATTCACAGATTCATGTGCCTGAAAGCCAGAAATATAATTAAATGAAGCTATTCTTGGGTATGTAGTATTACTTTATTTTAATGAAAATCTAAAGAACTAAAATTCCAATGTGGTTTATTTCCATTAATGTTTTTAATCATGTTCCTTTCCCACCTATTTCTCATGGTTCTCATTCTGGTTTATTTTTGATGGTATCTTTTAGATACTTTGCATATTAAGTTTATAGAAATAATCCTCACTTCTGTGCTTTCTTGAAATGCATGGGCCATTTGGTCTGCATGTTAGCTTCCCATTTTAAAGAGAGGAAGGTCTCCTGTGACGGCATAAGCTGGTGCTGAGTGCTGATTGGGGTGCAGCCTCCAAATCAGGGCATCATGGGGATGGGGACTGAGGCTAACAGGGAGGCCAACACTATGGATTTTTAGCATATTGCAACTTGAAGTACAAAAGCTCTGTGCAGGCAAAACTAATCTTTCCTTTTGGACAAATGTGACTGCATGCTCCAGCTTGCAACCTCCAACCTGCAAATGAATTAGAACATAGAAAGTGAGTGAAGAATTGACTCTAGACTAAGTAATTAGTCATACTTGGCAGGGCTGAGTAGAAAGGACTCACCCCTAGGCACTTTGGAAATTGATCTTTGAAAAAAAAAAAAAAAGACTTTAAGCTCAGTTTTAGATTTATAGAAAAATTGAGAAGATACTAGAGTTTCCATGTACTCCATACCCAGTTTCCTGTTATTATTAGTATGGTACATGTGTTACTTGCAATGAACAAATATTAACTAAAGTCTTCTTTTCATTCAGATGTCCCAATGCCCTGTTCTATTCCAGGATCCAGTCCAGGATTCCACATTGCATTCAGTTGTTGTAGTAATCACTTTCCTATTGCTGGGACAAAATACTCGACACCACAACTAAAAGGAGGACAAGTTTATTTGAGGTCACAGTTTCAGAGGGTTCAGTCCATGGTCAGCTAGCTTCAGGCAGAAATAGTGTGGTAGAAGAACGAGGCAGAAGAAAGCTGCTTAACTTCCAGCAGCCAGAAAGCAGAGAGAAGGGAGGAATCATGGACAAGAATACACCTTCCAGCCCCCCGCAATGACTCATCTCCTTCAACCAATCCCCACCTCCTAACAGCAAATGAGGTAATTCTTCACTCACTTTCTATGTTTTAATTTATTTTGCAGACTGGAGTTTGCAAGATGGAGCATGCAGTCACATTTTCCCCTCAGGAAAGTTTGATTTGGCCTGAACAGAGTTTTTGTGTTTAGCGTCCCCATGATCCTATCACCTTCCGAAAGCCCCACCTTTAAACACAAGAGACTTTGGGGGGCACATTTTATATCTAAACAAGAACAATTGTCATGTTTCCCTGGGTGCCTCTTGGCTATAACAGAGTCTCAGATTTTCTTTGTTTTTGCTGGTTGTGACAGCTTTGAGGATTACTGGTGTGAGGTACATTGTAGGATGCCTTTCTATTGAAACTTGTTGTTTTCTTCATTATTGGATTGTGGCTACAAGTTTTGGGGAGAAGGCCCTAGGCAGAGTGCATTTACATAACAGCATGTCCAAGGTACAAGCTATCAATCTTCAGTAGTTCAATCAGTTGATAACAGGATACAGAACACCACATTCTTTGTTGTAACCCTGATCCTTGAGACTGCCTATAGCATTTTAAATTTCAGAAGATCAAGAATGTTATTCCTTTCCCTTTGGAAAAAATAAAACAAGCTTTTAGCTAGTGGCATGTCTTCAAGGAAGCTAAAGGCATTTCTTTCCCATGTTTTGTTTTGTTCTGAGGGCATTCTGATGGCTGCCTACAAGTGATGTCCTAAAGTGCCTGGTCACTGGAGGGGCTGATAGGCGTCCCCCACCCCCGGGGGACCAAAGGGGCAGAGCCCTGAGCTGCAGGAAGAAGAGTTGGTGGTGATGCAGGAACTGGTTGTTGGTGAGGGCCACGGCTACCAGCCACTGGGTGTGCAAGTGTGTCCTTCCTCCTCCTCCCCTAGAGACAGGGCCCATGCAGGGATCAGGCACCATCACCCTCAGGACAGTCTTTGTGGATTCAGCCAGGTGGAGTGTGGCTGCACCACTGTATCTTGTGTGTCCTTTGTAGCACTGGGTCTGTGGGGACTCTGGTAGGTTTGACTGGTTAACACTGCTGTGCAAACCCTGTCCAAAGACTTTGACCTGGAATAAACAGGAGAGAGCCTTTGGCTCAGACCTGTATGTAACATTGTAACTTTGCACATAGTGAATTGCTTCCTCTTAGTATCCCTTGCTTTATTCCTGTTTTAGACGGACACTGAGACCAGATACCAGAAATTGTTACTGTAGCCTAACTGCTATTTTGTACTAAGAAAGTAACAAAGCATTTGAATGCTGAGAATATTTCCATTATGCCAGGGTACCTACACTTTTAATAGTAACAGTCCTTACAACATTGCTCTCCCTCTCAGCAGAGAAAGTGGCTGCCAAGGAATCCTTAAAGCATGTGGAGTGAGTAAAAAAGACACGGAACAAAGGCAGTATCCCAAGGGAGAGACAACGATGCTCTGTAAATAGCTGTGCTATTTTCCTTTGAAATGCCTGGCACTCTATGTGGGATTGTGTCATGTGCGTTGGGGCTCTATCTAATTCTGTGGTGAAGCAGTGCACTTCAGATCTCAGAGCCATGCAGACTGGGGGGACATCTGGATCTCTTCAAAGTTTTTAACTACTTAAATGACAAGCTTAAAAATTTAGCATGAAAAAACAAATTTAGCATGGCTGGAAGTGGAATCCTGCCTGTCACTTGCATTCATATGGTTATCACCTCACCTTTAGAGACCTATCTCTATATACATTGATATATAATATGCATGTGTATTTTTGATTGACCTAGATTTATTTGTATGTTCAGCATGTTTGACATAGATTAAAAAATTGAAATGTTTTCATTTTCTGCAGTCTGTATGGAAACAGGAGTCTGAAGGTGGAGTAAGGGGGTTATATTTTGGGGAAACATTTTTATAAATTTCTGGTTTTGTCCCACCTATGTAAAAGATCTAGGATGTAATCATTTAAACATTGTGGAGGGGCCTAAGTCGAGGGAGAAAGTCATGTTCATGGATTGGAAGGTCCTTACTATTAAGGTGTCATTTTCACCAAATGTAATACTTCCCAGGGGTAAACACTGGCCAGGATCTAGAGGAACCCATGTTCAGCCCTCCCATTAGGACCACCTTCCTTCCAGAAGAATGCACAGTGCTTATGCCCAGGGAAATGCACTTAGAGCTCAAGCAAACTCAGGTTTTTTTACTGGGAGCTGGCTGCAGAGGTGTACCTTGCCCACAGAAATTTCAGATTTGAAAAAGTAAAGCAAGTGTGAACTTGTTTAGTGCCCCAGGCAGGTAAAACCTTTCATTGTAGGAAATATTTCCAAAGCCGAGTTCCCAGACACCAGCTCAGGGCCAACCTTATAAACAGTCCTTAGGCCTCTACACTGTTCTCATTGAAAAAGTGGCAGAAACTGTAAAAATATGATCAAATTTGAAAGAGACCAGTGCAATGAGACCTTCATGGCTTGAAATGGTTCACAACCTTAAATCCTCTTTTTGGAACAAGGTAGAATAGTATTAAGTAAGATCAGGGTACAGGACTAATGGCAGCTTCTCATTACATTTGCTCTTTAGTAGCCTGACTTCCAATTGTATTTCTTTCAGTATGTCACTTTTCTTCGTTTCATAAAATGTTTCTCAATTGAGAGTCACTATTTTAACCCCTGCTTATCTGATCATGACCCAGTTCAGTTCTGTAGCAAATAAAAGGCGAGGCATTGGTGTTGGGATTTATAATCACCTCACCAACAAGACTTGTTCTTTGCTGGCCAAGCACTGAGTGCATGTGCCTGGGAGAGGAGAGCCCTCTGCTAATTTTCCCTGGGTTGCTGTGTGGGCCGAAGAAGTTGCCTAAGCCTAAATATGTTTCCTGACGCGGGCAGGCTTTCTTGTGAGGATTTTCACTTAGAGACATCTGGCCAGTGTGGGGGTGCACGCTAACAACCCAGCCTCTGAGGCTGAGGCAGGAGGATCAGAAATCCCAGACAAGCCAGGGCAATTTGGCAAGACCCTATCTCAGAAGAGAAAGGCCATAGCTCAGTGGTAGAGCCGTTCCTCGCATGCATGAGGCCCCGAGTTTGATCCTCGGTGCCACCAGAACAAAACCAGCAAAACATGAGGGTGTCTGATTGGTGTCTGCTGTGTACAACACAGAGGAGGACCAATACTCTACCTGCTCTGGGAGGCCTTTTCCTCTCGCTTGGCCCACTTGTCCTTGAGAAACAGGCATATTTTTAGGGTATGTGTCTCTTGTTGTCACTCTGAAGGATGCCTGCTGGACCTTTTGTGTCTGGATCTCACTATTAATGTCCCCAGCCAAGGTGTCTTGGTATCTAAGGCAATAGAAGAAGCGGAATCAGGTGTCCCCATGGCTTCCCCGAGTGAAGTTTTTGTTCTCAGTGAGTCAGGACGTTTCTTGAAGGAGAATTAAACCTTCTCACTTGAGAAAGGCCAAAGTATTATTTAAAAGTTGGAACCTTGAAACAAATAGAAAATATTTGATATCACATATCAGCTTCAAGTAAGTGGTGTTCAGGTGCTGACACCGACTTTATTTCTCTCAAGCCTGCAGCCGCCACTCAGCTACTCTGAAGGCAGAGCACGTGGCCCTGGGCTCCCGCAACGGAGGGCTCTGTGTGCAACCTGCGCTTCTGCCCTCCCTGCCTCCCCGGGGGATCGTGTTTGTCTCCTCCCTCCTTTTCCCTAAGAAAGCACCTCATCCTGTCTTTCCCCTTTCACAGATGCGGACCACGCGCAAGGTGTCTGTCTGGCCAGTGGGCCTGGTTGGCGGGCGGCGCTACGAGAGACCCGTGGTGGAAAACGGCAAAGTGGTCAGCTGGTACACGGGCTGGAGAGCAGACAGGCCTTTCGCCATCGACATGGCAGGTGAGGGCAGGGCGGGGCACAGCTTCTGGCCTGGCTGATCCTTGGTGCTCCTGTGGGTAACAGCTCTCCAGAAGGAGAGCCCTTCAGGGTGGACCCAGATAAAACCCTGGGCCATATCTCATTCCACAGATGAAATCCGGTACTTAGACATTCAAATTCAGCCCTTGGGAAGTTGGTTTGCTTTCATTCTGTTTTGCTGCCTCCCTGTCCCTTCATCTAACACACACTCATGTGCCAGGCCTGGGCTGGGTGTTGGGACTTGGGGTGAGGACCACACTGGCCCTGCCTCCCAGACGTCTGTAGCTGGGACCTTCAGGTGCTGTCTCGCGCAGACCGACGGATACATTTAAATATGTCATATTCGTTGATAAATGTAGTAAGTGTTAAATTGACTAGTGTTTGTAATGCTTATTGATAAATTTAGTGCTTTGTTGATATATTAAATAGCTAAAATATGACACTGGATTACTAGTTTTCCCAGTGTATATTAACTTGGAGAACAACTATCTTTTAAGGTTTTTATTCCCTCAGCACCCAACTGTATTGCACTAGAACAGGAGCAGACTACAAGTTTTACAGTGCTACTTATCATGACACTCCTTGTTTTCTGTGAGTTACAGAAAATGATGTGGTTTGTGATGGAGTTTGAAAAGGAGGCTGAGAGAGAAAGAAAATCTCTGCCATCTGTAGTACAGGAGATGAAGACAGAAAGGCCTCAGGATTGGTCTCATGGGTCACAGCTGTCTGTCCCTGTCTGTCGGCCCCTGTCAGCCCAGCTTCTGTGTGTATTTCCCAGCAGTAGCCAACCTCTCTCCAGAGTTCTGCTGGGATGAAGGCTGTGCCCCACTGGGTTGTGTACAAATGCGGAAGCAAGATTGTGACAAATGCTAGGGGTGAGTTGGGGGCAAAGCCCTCCAGGGTGACTTGTGGGTCTGTCACCTCACATCATGGGAGAATAAACTCTATAGAGTATTTTTATTCAGCACTTGGCATTTCCAGATACCTGCTTTGTGTGACTCTGCTTTGTGGTCTCTGACCCCTGGGGCGGTCTAGATCACTTGGCCTTCCTGGTCACCCACTCCATCCCTCTCCATCTGTGATTTTTAGTTCTTGCAGAAAGCTGTGAGCTGAGCAGGCATCGTGCCCAAAGTGTTTACGTGGGGGCAGATGGAGAGGCAGGTGAGCCACGTGCAGAAGGTCTGGGCACTCTGCAAAGAGGTCCTTCTCATCCACTGAAAATATAAGACTGACCATGATGTATCTTTCAAAAATCAGCCTCTTGTTTGGCTGTTGTGTACTCTCAAGCAGGAATTTAGAGAACGTTAGAGAAAGTCCTTTTACTTCCCTGCAACTTGGTGTCTTCCTGTGTAAAATGAAGCAGTGATGGCGTGATGACCCCCACATCCTCTAATTATTCTTTCTTTGCCCAGTTTCCCACCTTGGGAAGCTCAAAGAAAAGCCTTCATCCCTGACTTTTGAAGACTTGTGATGGTGTAGCAGCCAGCTGACAGACCTCTGGTCCTGATCTTCCCCAGAGCCTGGCTTCTACACAGACCCCCAGGGCTGCATGCACACAGGCCTCTGCCTCGCCTGGGTAACTTCGGGGTGAGAGCAACTTGGAGACCTTTTCCTGGATTTCAGTACGAGAACTTTAGATGCTCACGTATCCAGCAAACCTGTTGAGTCTTTGCGTTGGTTCCCCCAGCGTTTGCATCCAATACTGTATTTCTCTTTTGTTTTGTTTTTTTTGGTACTAGGGATCAAACTCAGGACCTTGCACTTGCAATCCATGCACAGTGCCACTGAGCTAAATCCCCTGCCCTCAATACTGTTTTTCTAATGTCTGAGAAAGACAAGTGAGTTCTGTGTGTCAGGACTGGAGATGGCAAAACATTTGATGCTTTTTCATTGCTAAATCCTATAGACAATTTCCTCCGTGACCAGTGTTTAGATTTTTCTACATATTCTGATATATTTTCAAAGCACAATGAGACCATACCTATCATCATAAAATAGGAATGAGTTGTGTGCTCAGTATTCATTACCCTTGTTTAAAAATCAGGATATACTACCTGTTGTCTTTAAGAAAACCTTTGTTCCACTAAATTATTTTCTTCACTTCCCACATGAACTTGCTGTGTGTATCTTAGTTTCCGGTAAATTATTGATATTTTGGAAGTGGGATTTGGCTGATAAGATAATGGTTCTATTCTGGAGGAAGTTTTTCTAATTCTCAGCCTGGAAAATGGACAAGTTTGTCAGGTTCCACGTATAGGTCACTGACTCTGGGATGAGGGAACAGACCTTTAAGTCCCGTGAATACGAATGGCGTCTCCCATCATGTTTCCAAGTTATGGGTGCACACACACAATCTCTGGAGTGAGAGGAAGGAGCAGGGAGGGACCCATGTCCCTTCGGGGCCTGGATGGTCTGAGGACCATTGCTTTGAACTTGCTCCATGAGAGTCCAGTGAGAGGACCATATTGGAGTTTGAATTTCTCTTGCATTTGCAAAGCTGATTAAGAATCATGCAATTTAGCTGGGCACATGCCTGTCTTCCTAGCTGTATAGGAGGCTGAAGCAGGAGGCTCTCAAGATCAAGGCCGGTCTGGGCAACTTAGGCCACCCTGTCTCAAAAAATAAACAAACATGAAACTTAGAGATAAAATGCAACGTTTCCACGCCTGTTTTACTTTGCCAGGCTTGAATACATTAGCAGGAACCCTCAGAGTCAGACTTGTGTTTCTGTGAAATTGTCATCACTGGAAATTTGAGCAACAGACCATGAGCCACGCTGCCTGCTGTCGTTCAGGGGGCTCTTCGACTCTCATTAGTGTTTCATTGCTGCCTTACACCTTCCTGGTGGTGAAATTTTGTTCTCAGATGATGTGAAATATTGTTCTGAAGTTATTTTTAGTCTATAGTGTTGATGGCACATTTTATTTGTTCCATTGAGGGGGAATTTTTAAAGAAACTTTCTAATGATTACTACTTAAATGAATATAGCCACCTGTAGCATGAATAGAAAACACTGTGAGCAGCCGGAGCCTCAGCTTGCAGTTAGCTCCTGCATCCCTTAGTGGCTGGGACCTAGGAGGCCTCTGCCCTGGCTTTAGGGTGGGGTGCTGAGCCTGGGGCTGGCCATGCCTGGCCCTGGCGTCTAGCTCAGCTTTCAGAGCAGGGATTACTTGCAAGCTGTAGACTTATTTGGGCCAATTCCAGAGAATGTCAGTAAGAACCATTGCTTGAAAGACCGGAGCTTAAGGTAATTTCCTATCTAGCCAGAAAATGTAGATGTGTTTAAATTCAGAGCTCCATGCTGGGAGGCTTCCCCCTCGACCCTCAGCGTTTGTGTGTGGCTTGTTTCTAACTCCAGGTAGGGCCTGTGCCCGTGAGTGATCACACTTATCCAGGTGAGTTCCCCACACACACTCAAGGATGCGTGTCCCTGCCATTGGTGGTTTTGTGTCTCAGGAAGGAGCCTCTTCATGCTGTGGAAGAGGCTGCCGTGGCAGGCGCCTTAAACACTGGGCCTTGGTTAGTTGGGGAGCGGCCATCCCAGAAAGCAGGGTGGACTGGAGGGAGGAAGTCTGTCTTCCTGTCCTCCTGTCTTTGTCTCTGTGGTATGGGAGAGTCTTTGAATTTTTCAAGTAGATGACTGGAGGGATCAGAAATCTGTTTGGCAAGCACCTGTGGGTGGTGAGCGTGAGTGGAGGCCAGTCAAGGGGCTGGAGCAGGAGGAGGGGGCCTCAGTCCCCAGCTGTCAGCACCGCGGTGTTTCAGCAAGGAACTTCTGAGTGCTCAGAAGCCAACAGACAGTTAGACCCTCTTCACGCCTTTTCTGTGGTGGAACGCAGTGATAGCTGATGTGTTACATGTAAGTTTGATTTAGTTTTAATTGGCGTAATTTGTATTATCCTTTGAGTTGTAATTTATGAGCAGAAAATACAATAATTGTGGGTAATTTGAACAGTCTATTAACCAGAATACTAGTGGTATAAAAATGGAAGCCTAGGGCCAGGGATTTAGCTCAGTGGCACCAAGCCTGCCTCACAAGCACCAACCAGGTCCTGAGTTCCATCCCCGGTACCAAAAAAAAGAAAAAAAAAAAGAAAGCCTGCAAATTAAGGGAAAGGTCACACTGCCTGACTAATGTTTCCAGGCTCAGGGTGGATTGGGGGTGTGTATCTGGCAAGGACTGTGGTGTTGGAGTCACACCTGCCTGGGCATCCTGTGACTTCCCTTGTGTGCTGCTGCCCCCATTCTGCCCAAGAGCAGAAGCAGGTGGTGTCCAGGAAATCTAAGGAAAGCCGCATTGATCCTTGCACTTTGTTTGCAGCTCTCAGGGCTGCCTGCTCCAGGCAGACTCCTATTCTGCTTTAATAGCTTTTTTTTTTTTTTTGCGATACCAGGGATCGAACTGGAGGACCTTGGACTTGCCAGGCAGGCTCGGCACCACTGAGCCACATCCCCGGCCCTCCTCTTCCTCTTTCTGGCCATCCAGGGTCTCCAGTCTGTTTGACTGGCTAATCTTTGGAGGAGAAAGGGAGCAAGGAGGAGACTAAGGGCCATCTTCAGACTCGGCCCACAGCATCTCCCACATTTTCTTGTTTGTAACTCGAAGTGATTCTGATGTTGTCCCGTGGTGAGGTGGAGCAGTTGTTGCTGGAATGTTCTGCCGCAGACTAGAAACAAGACAATCAGTATAATCAGGACAATTAAGAGTGGTAGCACGACAGCCACAGTGTGCCTGCCAGTATTGAAAGGACTGAACCCACTGAGGAGGTCCAGCACTGCTTTAGCAGCTTGATCTGGGGCAAGACTCTGGACCTCTGCATGTTGTATGTCTAGAATTTGTGTCAATTTTGTAAATCCAGACTGAAGTTGGCGTGGTGGAAGATACCTATGAGATGAGCTGCTCCCAGGGCCATGTTGTTTCATTATATTTTAGAGCTGTAGCACGAACATGTTTAAATTCACCATGGCAGTGAAGCCCTTGA